AGAGGGAAGGGGGAAGGGGGGGAAAGGGGGAAGGGGAGAGACGGGCAGGGGGAAGGGAATTTCATGCAAGGGACAAGGAGGGAGGGGAGGGGAATGGGAGGGGAGGTACGAGAGATAAGGCTTCACAAACAGCACCAACACAGCCTGGCAAAGCGCACATACATACACACATACACACATACATACGTACATACATACGCACGCGCACACGCACTCACCCAGCCTTGCCAGGACCTGGGACGTGGATGAGCCGCATCGTTTCATTGACCCCAGCAGCAGGGGGGTGATGGAGCTAGCTCGGAGCAGCTGGGGGGGGGGAAACAGGGGGAGGGTTTTAGGGTTGTTTAGGGTTTAGGACTGGGTTTATGTGGGCGAGGGGGAGAGAGGGGAGGAGGGAGCTGGAAAAAACGGGGGGAAGAGAAAGAATTGATACACACAGGTAATACAGACTAACGGTGCACAGGAATACATAGACGCATTGGATAAGGAGAGGGGTTTTGGACGTGGGGGGGTTAAGAAATTATTAACATTGCGTCGTACACTTCGCACGCTTGCCGTACATTTGTCGTACCTTATCCGCAATCTCTGGGTGCCGCTCTAGATGTCGGCCCATGGACTTGGTTCGCAGGTGGGGGGGCAGACGGTTCAGTGCCTTGGCAGCGCGAAGACGTCGCTGGGACAGCGCAGGGTTCTGTACGGCAAACACGAGGTATGCCGTACACGGCACGTGGGAGAACGTTTGTTAGCTCCAGTTAGTGCAGGCCTCTCACACACCCATGTGAACGCCCAACACAAAAAAACACATGCACATACAAACATACACACACAAATACACAAACACATACACACAGAGACACACAAAACACACTTTCTCCGCTCACATGCACTTCCTCCATTGCCAGCTCCACCGCCGCCATCATACCCAGCTCATCCTGAAAGAGGGACGAGATGTACGGCAAGTGAAGTTGTGCACGGCACGTGGAGGTATGTACGGCAAGCGGAAACAGAAAGAATGAAGGGTGAATGAAGGAAGTTGGGACAAGGCCAGCCACGAGTCAAGGACGGCAAATCACGTAACCCAACCGAAGCAGCTGGGCAGCCGGCCAGCCACTCCGTGACTGGGCTCCGCCCATCCGTTCGTCTGTCTGTTTATCTGCTAATCCAGCTACCCTTGGCCGTACCTCCATCTCCACGGGATTATCCGCCACTTGCATCCACTTAGCTCTCGCGGCGCCACCCTGCAGTTCGGGGGCGAGGGGTTTGGAGGGAGAGGGGTTAGGGGTTAGGGGTTTGGGGGAAGAGGGGTTGGGCGGTTAGAGGGGGCGGGGGGCCAGCTGGTTAGGGGATGGAAGGAGAGTGGGTGGGAGAGTGCGGGGAAGGGGGGAGGAGAGGGGGAAGCAAGGGAAGCGGGGGAAGAGGGTGGGGCACTTGATCCAGCTTTTAAAAACAGAACCACAGGAGACACACAATCACAACAACAACCACAGATATAACAACGATCAAAAAACCATTTTTTGTTTAAACCAAACAAAAACAAAAACAAAAAACACAACTGCATCATGTGTCTTAACAACCTAACTCCCCCCCAACCCCGCTCCCTACCCCGCTGTGTATGTACGACCCCAACTCCTACCTGTGTCAGGTCGCTCAGCAGCTTAGCCCTCTTCAGTTTGGCGATCATGACACCGAAGGGCAGGGCAACGCCGCTGGGCAACACGTACTCCCCGGATAGAAGGTTCTTGCCGGCAGCGAACTCGTACCTGGGTTGTGTGTGTGTGTGTGTGTGTGCGTGGGGGGGGGAGTTGGGTTGGGGTGTGAAGGGGAAGGGGAGAAAAAGGGGGATCAGATGCAACGTACATATATATGCATATGTAAATGCATTTATATGCCGTTCTTCTCTATAAATGTATATATATACAGCGAGAAGAAGAAGGAGAAGAGGAAAAAAGGGAGGGGGGAGGGGGAAGAGAAGGACGGCAAACAGTTCGGGAAGTGGGAACATTGCGAGGATACGGAGACAGAAGTTGGCACCCGGACGTCCGTGGGGACTTCTCCTTCGCTTGGGATTGGAGAGGAGGGAAGGAATTATGGGGAAGGGGGAAAAGCGTGTGTTTGTGTGTCTGTCTGTGTGTCTGTCTGTGTGTCTGTTTGTGTGTCTGTTTGTGTGTCTGTTTGTGTGTCTGTTTGTGTCTCTTGCCGTTTCGGATATAGGGAACGCATACAGCAGCGACCGTCGCAGAGGTAACGTGGATATGTTTAATCTGGAGGAGGCCATATTCATTATCATTAGCTATTATTACATCTTCAACAGCCAGCCAGACTTGCGAACTGATGTTGTGTTCGGTTTGCTGAACGTAGGACCAAGATGTCGTATGTTCCTTTCCTTCGTATCCAACATATAGACATCAACAATGGCGTCGCACAAACAAGCAGCAGCGGGGGGAAAGTTCAGAAAGGACCAAAGACAAACGGCGAAAAGGGACAAAAGTGACGGAAATTCAAAACACACAGAAGTTGTGAAATTTTGCAGGTGTTGCCTTAAATGTCGAGGAGAGCGGGGAAATTGGTCTTGACTGTACGGCATTCGTGTACGTCATGTTTATCGTACATTACTTACATAAAGAATGTCTCAAATTCCTTCCAATTTATGACTCCATCACCGTCCATATCCATCAGGTTAATCATCTCGTTGATGTTGTCCGGAGACACGGGTACCTGGGATGCCTGCGTGTACGTATGTACGTAAATACGTACGTACGTAAGTACGTCATGTGTAAGTATGTACGGGAAGAGTTGGGAAGGAATGAACGCAAATGTGGGTAGGGGGTCGAAGAGGGAAGGCACTTCAGAGGACGGTCGAACTGAAATGTGTTGGTCGTACACTTTATATAACCCGCTCTTTCCCTTCCCCCCTCGGCCTCTCCCCCCTCCCTTCAATCCCTTCCTTTCCTCCCCATCTGAGACCCATCCCGCCAGACACCGCCTCCTCCGTGGACGCTATGATCCCAAAAGGTCCACACCTCCCCTATGTGTGCTTAATTCATTTCCTCTTTTCTCTCTTCCTTTTCCTTCCCTCCTTTTCCCCCCTCTCACCCTCAAGGCCGCGAGAAGCTCAGCATGGTCCAATGTGCCGCTTCCGTCGTCATCCACCAGGGCGAACCACTGCTCAATAACGCGGGCTACGGCGGGATGGAGCGGGGGGGCGGGAGGAGTGCGCTTGCGTACGGAAAACCACTCCTTGTTGTCCCACTTTTGAATCTGTGTACAGAGGTACGGAACAAAGAAGGGGAAAAGGGAGGGTTGGGAAAATGGGGGGACGTTGGACGGGGGAAATCATTTTCGTTGAAGATAAAACCCCGGGGTGGGAACCCCCACGCCGGGGTGCCGACGACGCTCAAAACACCAACCGCCGGTCAGGGGGACTTGGGGGATTGGCTTTGGGGTAAAGGTGAATAGGGAGGTGTGTCTGTATCACGCGTCTGTATGTGTATGCGCATCGGGCATGTACGTTTCGTACTGTCGCTGCTACTGCCATTAAGTTGTGTATTGTCGCTGCTACTGCCATGGCGACCCAACCTGCTATCGCCGCTACTGCTGCTCCTCATCCTTTCCTCTTCTGGCACCGCATCACGTGACTTGGCTTGTCCATACTGGAGCCCTAAAACCGTTAAAACCCTAAAACCCTAAAACAGTTATCAAATTCGGTTAGACCCTAAAACCCGGCAGCCCCTAAAAACCGCCTGCACCCCCTCTCTCACCTTCCGGGCCAGGTCCCTCCGCCTCTTTCCGTCCAGTCGCCCTCTGACGGTTACTGTCTGACCCGTGGTTCTCGCCTGCATCTTGGCGGCCCGCAGCCTCTCCGACCACATCACCTCGGGGGCTCGTTCCTTGGCGTAGGTCTTGATCTGTCGGGGGGGAGGTTGGTGGGCCGGGGGGGTTTGGGTGGGGGGGTTTGGGGGGGGTTGGTGGGTGGGTGGGAGAAGGGTTGTAATTTTGTGCAAACGCGGGGTTGGGTGGATGGGGTTGAAGAGAGGAGAATTACCAATGCAGTGGACGACTTTCTACAGTGTGGAATTGTTTGGAACATCCTGTTATTCACAATTTTCCTGTTATCCATCTTTTGCCACTTCCCCCCCCTCTCCATTTTGCCTCCCCATAGGGAGACGCGATTAGCTAATCGCGTCTGTAGTTCAGCTCCACAGCTTGATTCGTACCTCCCAACAATAAACCCCCTCTTCAACTTCAAAAAAACAATTCCACACGGTTATTCCCGCCGCCTCGTTCTCCCTTCGCCTTCCCGCATTTCCCCCCCCCCCTTCACCCCCGTCTTTCCTTTTCTCCCTCCCCCCCCTGCTCCCCCCTCTGGTCCCCCTCACCGCTTCCAGCACCGGCCCCGGGGGCGGCTCATCTCCTCCCGCGGATAGCGAACCGTCATCGTCGCCGCTGTCGCTGTTGCCATTGCCCTCCGCCTCCCCTTCATCCTGATGTGGGGAAGGGGGGTAACGGCGGGCAATACACACACACGGGTGTGTGGCGGTGGTGATGGTCATAGTGGTGATAGTGGTAGTGAGGAGAGCCGGGTGAGAGTCATATGCACGAGGTTCGGGACTCAACCCCGCAGCTGCATGGGGTGAGAGATGAAGGAGTGCCCCCCCCGGGGAGTTTGGAAGGGAAAGGCCTCTCCGGACTGATCATACGATCATAGGAGCATGAGGGGTCACTGCGTGAAGATGTGTGATGGAGAAGGAGAAGAGTTGGATAGGAAGGGCGGGATCCCAGATTGATAATAAATAAATAGCAGGGACCAAAAGAAGCGGTGGCAGGCGACCAGCGACTGGAAAGTCGTACATGCCGTACGGATGCCGCCAACTACTAGATAAAGGACTACCAGATTGAACCGCAGTGCTGCTTTGCTTTGGCTTATTCCTGTTTGGTCAAGTAGTACACTGCCGTACAAATCTGTACGGTGTACGCACACCCTCTTCGTACCGGCTCCTTGCCTATATAGAGACAGCAAACACCCACACTTCTTGATGTACGAGGTACGAGGACAATGTCATTGCCGTACCTCCGAGTTGACAGTGGGCTGCGCTCGTGTCAGCACATGCGGCAGCTGTCGACCCAGCTGGAAATCGACCTGGAGAATGTACGACAAATGTAGTACGACAGGAGGACAGGGACCATAAGACTCGATATTTTGAGTTTGGGAAATTAGTGTTCTTTGGAGAGGAAGAAAGGCACCTCCAAAAATTATGCTACCTGATTTATATTTTGCCCATGAATGGGTAAAATTAAGAAGAAAAGAAAAAAGTTGTCGTGTGTGAGAAAAAATACGGATAACAAAAGGAAAAGGGTGGAGGAGGGGGGGAAGAGGGAAAGATGTACGGAACAAACACATGCTGACATCGCTCCTGCAGCCACGTATATTTACAACAACCGGGGCGCATGCTGTACGACAGTCCATTGCTTTAGATGACTGAAATGGAAAGAAGGACAGGGAAGAAAGGCTTTAGTGCGGCTGGATGCTCGGGTGGGACGTGGAACGTGGCATCACGTGATGCAAAATAAAGCAGCAGGGAGGATCAACCGTAAGCAACCGCCGTAAGCAACCGCCGTAAGCACCGCACGCCGGTGGAACTGCATGCTTGAGTGGGGGGTAGGGAAAGTGCCGTACATGGCATCGTGGGAGGAAGAGGAAGAGGCCCCAAAACACAGCAAAACACAGTTGTTGCTGCCACATGGCGACTTCTCACCTCCCCAGGGGTCACGGCAAAGTCCCAGCCACGCCGCCGGAGCAGCCGCCGCCGTACAATCTTGCCGCTGAGGCGGTTTTTCTTTGGTGTGTCGCCAGTCCTTCCAACGGTAATCCGGCTGATGGTGGATCCTGCGACGGATGGCATCTGTGGTGGCGGCGGCGGCGCCGTCAGGCATAAGCGCGCGCGTCCAGAGGGAACCTCTCCGTACGCCGCCGGGGCCGCTGCTGGCAAGGGACTTGAAGGAAGACTGTACGACGCCGCGGCTGACGGCACCGCCGCCGGCACCGCCGCTGTGCCGGGTGCTCGCGCGCGATTTCACCGACCCAGCCAACCCCCGAACGCCACCAGCGGCCGCGGCAGCGACGGCGCCAGCCCTCCTCTTGAACGACAGCAAGTCCCGGCCGCCGCCAGTACTGCTGCCGCCGCCGCCGCCGCCGAGTATCGATTTCAGAGACGGGGAGACTGTGCCGCCGCCGCCACCGCTGGGCATGCCGAATCGACTCCGAATTGAATTTGCAGCGTAGCCTCCCCGGGACCGTGTCGTACGGTACTCCCCCGTCGAGAAGGCGTCGACGCCGGCGACGCTGCTTATGGCAACCGACCGGACGCTGACGGCGCGGCTGCCGCCGGCGACGCTGCCCGTACGTGACCGGGCATTAACAGCGGCGGCGGCGCCCCCACGCAGCTGTCTGCTCGGCGTCGCCGCGACGCTACCGCCGCCACCAGCAGGGCTCTCCAAATTACCGTCACCATCATAGTCGTACACTTCCGAATCGCCGTACCCCGACGCTGTCCAGTCCGCGTCTTCGGCGGGTTCCGACAGTGGCTGCTGCAGCCCGTCGGATTCGAACCCGGAATCTGATGACGATTCCATGTCGGAGGAGTTCAGCTCGTACGGATCAATCACAACATCGGTCACGTCAGGCCGCCCGTTCCGGGACCCAAATCGGTTGTCGGTTGCCCCGCCAACGGCCATGGAAGGCGCGGCACTGCGTGGCGATGGAAGAGTAGTAATGAGGAAGCGAGGACAGTGAGGGAATCCCAGTGAGTCCGGCTGGAGATGGTAAAGGGAGGAGATGGCGGGAGATGGCGGAAGATGGAGAGGAAAACATCCGCGGGGCTAGCCGCATGCTGCTTCACCACAAAGAGAGGAGCGTAGATGTCCACTATGAATTACTTATTAAACAACTTTTTTAACCAAGTTCAAAAACCACACTAACCACTTCCAACAACCATACTAACAATAGCATGTCCAATAAGAATCGTACTAAACAAAGTTTTTTCCTGTTTTTTCCTTGAATGAAAGGACCGCGCCTTGCCAGCACCAGAGCAGGGCCAACAGAACCACGCAGGAGCCCTTCCCCTGAAGCAGCTTCCCAGCAGCTTCCCCGACCCAAAGCTACCGTACATGTCGTACCTGGCTTGGCTCCCGAATGACTTGACAGACGCTAGCGTTCCGCTGCGCGCCAGCAGCTCACTGTCTTTGTAAAAGGATAACAGCCTGTCGGCTGCACTCAGAGTTGGAGGTGGCATGGTGCCCTTTTGGATTAAAGACGCGACCCGTGGGTCAGTCCGTTATTTCGACCCGCGGGTCAGTCCGGTACCGCTTGAATGTAGACCCGTAGACCCGTTGGATCAACGGTCTTCGCACTCACACACCGGCACACAACCCACACACAATATCCGCGATAGTGTGTGTGATGCGATCAATGGGGCTCCTCCCCCTCCCGCTTCTCTTCCTTCCCTTCTCTGACTCCAGAGCACGTGCTTGCGTGCTCTTTCGAAGCGGGTTTGCCGCGCGCTCTCTCTCTCTCCCTCCTTCTTACTTCACTTCCGCGTCCTGCGTCGCCCCGCGACCTGTTCCCGCGTCCTGAGTCACCACCACCACTGCTGCTGCTGCACTGCCACTGCTGCACTGCGCTTGGCCCTCTCACTCAAACCGCACCGTCGCCGCTCTCAAGTAACAACTGTTTTGAGTTTTTTAAAACGTAGTACGGACAACGGAAAGTACGGACAACAATCCTGCTGGTTCCTGCGCTAGTTGTTACTTGCAGTAAGTGCTGTTGTGGTGGTATGAAAGGTAATATAGGAAGAATTGCTGTTGTCGTACGGTGTCGTACGGCGTTTTTGTTATTTGTAAACACCGCGAAACGAGACGTGGATCCCGGCGAGATGCGCCGGTTAGGGTACGGCAGCAAAAAGTAGCTGCGGGGAGTAGCGAATCCCACTGGAAGGACGTACTCCACCAGCTGTTGTACGTTGCAGTACGTTGCCGTACACGATGAATCTAGGCGAATGAATCCAGGAGCCAATATGAGCAGTTTGAAGATCCCTCCAAGCCTAATCCTTAAAACGATTTGCAAAATGACGAGGCCGTGACCTCACTTTTGACAATAATCGGTCTGCCGCTGCTGCTACTGCTGCTACTGCCGGTACGTGTGCTGCTGCTACTGCTGCTGCTATGGGTGCCCCGGCTGTTGTTCCTGCTGCTGCCGGTGCGGCGTACGGCGTACCGTATAGATAGCCGAATTATAACTGGGCGTCTGCCGCTCTCGTTACTGGTCCCGCTACAGCCACCGCCGCTGTTGCTGCTACTGCCGTCACTGCTGCTGCTGCTGTCTCTGCTGCTGCAGCCGCCGCTGCTGCTACTGCTTCTGTTGGTCCTGTAATGGTCTTGGTCAACGCACGCTTGATCCATGGGCGCTCAGTTGGCGCGGGCTGCGCCGTCAGGCCGCCGCCACCTTGACGGCGGCGGCGGTGCGACAGGCAGCGGCGGCGGCGGCAGGGAATAGCGCGGTGCGAGGTCGAAGGACGGTAGCAACGGCGTTTGTTTTACTGCTGTCAATGTCGGGCTGGGACGAATTTCCAATCGCCAACTCGATGTACATTCAGGCTCTTCGGGACTATGGACTGCTCGAGACGTGCGGGAGGGGGACCCCAGACCGCCAGAGCGTGGGAAGGTTCGGGTGGCGGGGCGAAATACTTGTGTTATTAGTTATTGCGGAGACGAGTGGGGCTTACAAGGCCACAGGCGGACAGACGCCAGAGGACAGCAGTAAAAACATGAACGGAAACCAGAGGCGGTGTCAGGTGCTGTTAGGTATGTTGCTGAGTGCTGTTTTCATGAGTATATTGGGACTGGGATGGGGAAGGGGGAAGGGGGAGAGGGGAAGGGGGAGGGAATGGGGCCAGGAACAGGAGAGGTGACGGTGTTATCGTCACTTGGGGACATAAGGGTGGGGTCTGTTGCTGATTTTGGAGTAGTTATGGACGGGCAGTGGGATGGGAGTTAGTGGGGAGTATGAAGGGAACAGTGGGCTTGAAGGAAGGGGATGAGGGTCTATTAGCAGTAAGGGGATTAGCGGGGCCGGGCTGGCGGAACTAAGGAGATGCGGTCGAGGAGGGAAGGGTGGGTAGCAACAACGAAACGTGTAGGATAAAGGGCACAATGAGTGCGGGAGTCTGTCGAATGGAAATTCGAGCTGCTGGTATTATGTGTTGAATTAAAAGCTGAGAAGAGCCAGCTCGGCAGTCCGTGCGGGAAGGTTTGGATATGAGCACCGACGGGGACATTTGCAAGCTAACAAGCTAACAAACCCCGGAATGCGAATCCCAGGATGCAAAGCCAGACTTGACGGCCTTATACTAAAGCAGTCAACTGGTTATCCCTATGCGGTCCCTTGAGATTCAGTCAGTCGCAACCAGTCGATTGGCCGCCCGCCTCCCGAGCCAAAGGAAACAAATCCGACATCACCCAGACCCGCGGGCTAGCTTCATAATGAGACTTAAGAAACCCCTACAAAATTGTAACAGCTTTCTATCGGGAAACGTCGATGGACATCAGGGGGGCAATTGACTTCTGGCCTGGAAGAAGCCATTCTGGACGGTGAATTGGCACAACAGCGAAGCATTAACACCTTGAATTATAACGAAAGCCGTCGCACCTTAAATGGGAGGCTTTCCCTTGCCGTCAACGGCTATCCGCGTGGTTGTCTTGACCAAGCTTCAAATAGTAAGGTAATGTTACAGATGAAATAGGAACATGTCAACAAGAGACGTTTTTGCAAAGGTTTCGTTGGCTCCGTGGAGCTTTTAGAGCTTATAATTGACGTCTATCTACAACGTAAGCTTGTTGCAAATGCTTTACCAACCAGTTACTGTATCTAATCAAAATCCACCTTTCCGGCATCTCGCCGGTGATGGAGTACGTTCTAGCTTGAGGCCCTATCCAACAAGCAGTACTCGGATTACGGTAGAAACAGGCGAAGTGTCTGCTGCAATCCCGTCTATGGAAATCCGCCATAACTACAGCATAGATACGTCCTTCTGCCACTTGACCGGTTTTGCATACCGGTGTTGTGGCACGTGAACAGAGGCGCACTGGCGGCTGAACAAAAACTATCAACAACATAAACTATCAAGGATATAGATTGTTTGGTCTACCAATTCAATGTCCCCTTCCTAGGCCTTGACAGGGGTCTCCGTCGTGGCCCGGCGACAGCACTCTTAGTGGCTCTTGACCACAATCCAAAGCGAATCCAGTCGGGACATTATTTATTACAGGTCATGCTCTTTAAATTCGGGGTTGCGTAGCGCAAGCTCAAGTGGGGATCCAGATGTACCGCGGCGATGGGCACGGCGGTTCGCGAGGAAACAGGGCCCACCGGGGCCGCGCTTTCTCCAGTCGCACACAAGGACGTGGGCGCAGCGGGGGTAGCCAAAGACGGGGACCCGCGCTTCCGTTCTCTTTGCTGCGTGAGCTTGGTGGCGATGACACTGATGGCGGCGGCGGCGGTGGCGCCCGCCTTTACGGGGGCCGTGGCGGCCGCGGTGGCGGCGGCGGGCGCTTTGGCACCCCGGCCCGGGGTCGGCGTACGGCACCCGACGGCGGCCGTGGCCACGGCGGCGGCTGGCAGTCAGGCGGCAGCGGCGGCAGCGCTTCAAGAAAACGGACTGCAGAGCTGCTGCTAGAAATGCCTAGCGAAGGCGGCGCTCGACATCGTCAGGCAAGTTTCAATTTTAAACTCACGCCTGCGTTCGTACTTCTCCGCCCTCACCCTCGTTCTGCCGCGGGTGTACTCCGTCCCCAAGTTCCATCCCCCCCCGGCCCGCTCAGTTTATCACGTCACACACGAACACACACATACACACACATGCAGGACATGGATACGGATAAGGGCGAGGGCAAGGCAGGTCAGGGCCCGGCAAAGCGACGGCGGGTGCTTTCCTCCGGGGGAGATGGAGGTGACGGCAATGGCGGCGGCGGCGGCGGCGGCCGCAGCAGCAAAGCCGGTCCCCGAGTCGGCGGGCTGACACGTACATTGGCTGCCATGAAGCAGCAGCCGACTGGATCCAAATCTGGATCTGGATCTGGGCAGGGGGAAGGTCCGAGCTCTACTAAAACCAAGTTTCATGAACTGTTGGTTGACGGTTGGGAGAGCCGTAACGGTCGCGAGGCGTTTATGGAGGAGCTTCGCCTGCAGGCACGACTTGCGAAGAAGCTTGGCAAGAAGAGCAAGAATGTGAGTGGCGGCCCCCCGGGGCCGGGGGGGTTTTCCGAGGCGCGCCGTGTGCGTGAATGTGTGTGTGTGTGTGTTTCGGGTGTATGTTTTGGGTGTGTATGTATGTGTATGCATTGGGGAGGGAGTGGGGGTGCGGGGCGGGGGGAAAGGGTTTTCGACACGGTGTTGCAATCTCATCTGAACGGAGGGGCTTTTTATTATTGGCTCATTGGCATCAACACTCACTTCATCGTGTCTTGAAGGTGCCCACACATGCGAGCATGTGTGGGTTGGGTGGAGGGTAGGGAAGGTGGAGAGCTGGTCATACTTCACAACCGCTTCTTTAACAGTCTAAACTACCTGTCGTACGTGCCGTACCTGTGATCAACACAGGATGCCTTGGACGGGATGGACAAACTCATGGGCTTCCTTTCAGCTGGATCCGGATCCATGCTGCCCAGATATCTGGATCCAGAATCCCGTCAGATGGCTGAAGATCTTCTGGTGAAATCCGGATCCGGATCTGGTGCAGATCAAGGGTCTCGATCCAAGGCACCAGCAAAGAGCGGTCAACAGCCGGCAAACGCCGCAGCAGCTGCACGGCAAGTGGCCGAGATTTTGGATCGTGAATCCGATGAGGAGCTTGAGTTTTTTGGAATCGATCCAGGAAACTCAAGGGAGGGTGACGATGAGGGCGACGGGGAGGAGGAGGGCAGCAGTGATGGCGAGGACTTGCATGACATGTACGACATGGATCTCGGTTCTGAATCCGAAGACGAGGACGACGATGGCGATGCGGAGGGCGAGGTGTACAGCAGCAGTGATGATGAAGATGATGGTGGCAGCGGTGGCAGAGAGGGAGGTCTGAGCTCTGAGGAAACTGACGGCGACGACGAGGACGAGGACGATGAGGACGACGGCGATGAAGATGAAGATGAGGAGGAGTACGACATGCTCGGCCATCTCATGGGATCGGATTCCGAAGATGCCAGAGATGCTGGTGCTGTCTCCAAGGGTGGTGATGAGGATGACGACGACGACGAGGACGCGGATGAGGACGATGAGGATGGGGATGGGGATGATGATGATGATGATGATGAGGAGGAGGACGACCGGGGCCAAGATGATGAAATTGGGGATGATGTCCTCCGAAACCAGAGGCGACCGTCAAGGGAGGTGCTGACGTCATCACGTACAGGCGGGAGCCAGCAACAGCAACAACAGCAGCAGCAACAAAAGTATGTGCCGCCAGCGCTACGTGGGCAACTGGCAGCTGCGGCCGCCACTGCTGTTGGAGGGGGAGGAGGGGGAGGAGGGGACGCCGCCCGTGTGCAGGTGGAGCGCCGCGTGACGGGGCTTATCAACAGGTACGGCATGTGGTTATTGCTAGGTAGTACAATGTACGACACTCTCGTTATTGTCACCATTTGCTGTCCAGTTGGAAGGCTAAGGTTCACTAAGTTATCCTTTTGTTAGGATTAACACGTCACCCAATAGGTTGTCATGTTTCCATGTTTTTTTATCATTTTGAAGTTTTCATAATTTAATTTATTTGAAGTTCATGTTTTCGCGTGCGTAAAAGTTTTTGTTCCTTGACTTTACTTGAGGTTTAAAGTTGTTGTTTCTCCGCTGAGCCTTAGAAATCTCTCCGGGCGCGGCCCCCCACCACCACACACACATGTACATGCAATTGCAATTACTCTCCTTCTCTCTGTCCGTATTCCTTTCTCTCTCCTCCCCTCCCTCTGCCTTTCGGTCAGTTTTTACGTTTGCTACACTCTTGCCCTGGCAGCAGCTTCAATCGCGTGTGGTTCGTCTTTCCCTCCCTCTCCTCCCCTCCCTTCTCTCTGTCCGTATTTCTCTCTCCCCTCCTCTGCAGGCTCGCGGAGGCCAACCTCCAAGCCATCTCTCGCGATGTGGCTGAGTTGTACCGCACTCAAGGACGAAGACTGGTTTCGGAGGCTGTGGCAGCGCAGATTCTGGGGGTTAGTTAGTCGGTTGGTTGCGGCAGGGGATGGGGGAGGGGTAGAAAAGGCGGGACGGAACGCTGGGAGGTCCGGATGGGCGGACCTACATACATACACATAGCTACACACATACATATATATTTACATTATATTTACATTACATTACATATATATACACACCAAAAAATCTCACGCGAGCCAAACCCCCCTCGTTTCCTTCCAGGCCGCGGAGTCGGGGCCTCGCGCGTCCGAGCAGTTTGCGGCAGTCGCAGCTGCCTTCGTTGCGGCCATCGCCGCTCAGACGGAGGCTCAGGACCTGGCTGCCGGTTTCCTGGCGGCGCTGGCGGAGAGGCTGGAGGGGGCCAGGGGGAGCGGGGACAGGTGGGTTTTAAAACTTAGGGGTTTAACTGGGTTTAGGGTTTTAACTTGGGTTTTATTATACTGATTTTATACTCTTCTGTTTTGTTTCGGGTTTTTATGTCGGTGATATCCGGGGTATGTGAATGCGCTGCGGGGGGGGGGAAGGGTCGGGGGGAAAGGCCTGCGGAACCAGCTGGGCAGGGGTACGTGCCCTTGGATGGGTTCGGGTCCAGGGGGTTTACCAGACTGCGGTTGGCGGTTGGCGGTTGGCCTCCTCCCGTAGACCCCCCCATTAGCTAAACTGCTGGTTTTTATTAACATCCCTTTTTTGTTCTCCGCTACCTTCGTTCCTCCCGTCTAACGCCCCCGCACCCTCCCCTCCCTCCCTCCCTACTCTTTCCTTGGCAGCAGCTTCACTCGTCCGTGGTTCGTCTTTCCCTCCCTCCCGACCGCGCAACCCTTCGGTCATCCTTAGCCTTCTCTGTGCCTCATGCAGCATGATGTGTTAATCCCATAGTTTACATCCCCCGAATGCATGTGTGTTTTTCCCTCCCCCGCACCCCTGTCGTACATAGCCTGGCCCAAGCCAATTTGGTGACTCTCCTAGCGTACTGCTACAGCGCCGGTTTGGTGGCGCCCGGGTTGTGCTACAGCCTGCTTGCGGTCCTCAAGGAGCGGTTTCAGGAGGCTGACGTGGCGGCCATGGTCACATTACTCAATGCGGTACGTTTGTCGTACACCATACACTGTACGATGTTTTGTCGTATATCTTCATGCGGACTTGTATGGCAGGTATGCGATGATGATGATGGTGTACCATATGTATGTATGTATGTATGTATGTATGTATGAATGTATGTGTTTTTGTGACTCTCTTTTATATGCGTTGGCTCACGCATGTTTACGTGTCGTACAGGTAGGCTTGCAGCTACGTAACGCCGACCCGGGCCTTATGAAGGAGTTCGTACTGGGGGTGCATGAGCGGGCGGCTCAGTTAGGGCGGGAAGGTGAGTGAAGGTTTCGGAAGGGGTTTGTGGGGGGGGGCGCGGGGGGGTTGTTGGCGGGTGAGGAAAGAGAACGTTAAAAGGGGGAAGGAAAAACCCCTGATGGGCCCGTAAAGCTACAAACAGATATATATACACACACACACACACACAGGGCCGCATGCACCCGCTCATGCAGGTAACCTGAGTCGTCGAGCCCAACTCATGCTGGACCTCATCATCGACATCAAGAACAATAAAACATCGGCCGCAGGGGGAGCGGCAGCCTCCGTAGCCCTGGCAGGCAATGTCACGCGGAAAGGAAAGACCGCCGATGCCGCCGCCGGCGCCGGCGGTGGCGGCCGCCGCGGCGGCGCGCTGGCTGTGCTACAGCCTTCCGTTGCCAAGTGGTTGCAGCAGTTGGGGGTTGAGGAGGTGTGCTTACGAGGGCTCACGTGGCAGAAGCTTTTGGCGCCGAATAAAAAAGGTGGGACGGGGTTGGGAATGTCGAGGCCCGTTGGTATCGCCGCCAGAGTTGCCGTACGAATGCTGGCGGGGGGGGGACGGCCTTGCGCGGGTTTTTAACCAGGAGGGGTAAGGGGGGAACATTTCCAGACGGCTAACAGAGAAACCGAACCCATGAACTAATGGCCGCCGTACTGTACGACATGTGGCATAGGTATGTGGTGGATGCCGGTCGCTGGAGAGGCCCTGGACGATCCCTTGATGCTGGCGGCGGCGGGTGGTGGTGGTGGCGGCGGCAGCGTGGGCGCCGCTAGCGCCACGGCCACAGCCACCGGCGCTGGTGGTGGTGGTGCTGCTGCTACAGCTGCTAGTACCGCCCGATTGCTGCAGCTGGCGGCGGCACAGAGAATGAACACCGACGCGCGGAGAGCTGTGTTTGTGGCCATCATGGGTTCTGAGGTAATGTGGCCAGGGGGGGAAAAGGGGGGGAAAGGGGGAAAATCAGGATTTGTGAGCCGAGTGTACGGCACTTGTGGGATGTGACATAGGAATGCGCCTCGAGCGGGCGTGAGCGTCTGAATTTTTCACTTATTCACCGCCGCCTCCACAGTACTGCTTTGGCACTTTTTTCGCCTCCGAGCTCATCTTTTCGAATGATAATATTCCGCATATTGAGTCGCATGCCGCTCATTTCAAACGCCTGCGGGGGGGGGGGAAACCCCCTTTTTGTTGAGCTTTGCTCCATCTATGACTTGTCACTCGTCTTTTTTGTGATCCAAATCTGGATTTGCTGCATATCCTGACTTGCTGCAGGACTGTAGGGAAGCTCACGAGAAGCTTCTACGACTGCCTCTCAAGGTCTGTCTGTATGTATGTATATATGTGTATGGGGGATATTGTTGGGATTGTAGCTAAGCAAAAAAAGGGGGGAAGGGGGAAAACGCCGGTGTGGAATTACCTTAGGAGATCAGCGGCGAGGGGGCCTGAGGTTTTCCTCTAAAACCCTAAAACCGCTAGGTGGGAAAACACACAAGAAAACAAATATTAAAACCCAGTCTACAACAAGTCAAAACTAAACCTCTAAACCCCCTTGATGCCCTCCCTAACAGGGCGACCAACGCCGCGAGATTGTTCGCGTGCTGGTGGACAGCTGCCTGGGGGAGAAGACCTGGAACCCGTACTACGGCTTCTTGGCGCTGCGGCTATGTGGGGGAGGAGGGGAGGGGGGTACCGGTGGTGGTGGGTCGGTGGGACGAGCGCACCGCGTGACGATGCAGTACTGCCTTTGGGACAAGTTCAAGGAGTTGGAGGTACGGCTGTACGGATGTTTGTACATGCGGGATGAAGGGAATGGGGGTTGGTGGGTATGGGCGGAAAATGGTTGGTTTAGTTGATTTGTCCGGGTCGCTGTCCCACTTCCCGAACTCCCCTCTCCCCCTTTCTCTCCTCATCGTCGGGGGGGGGGGGGGGGGGTAAAGGGGTTGCGCGCGGGGCGGGGGCCGGGTTTGAGGTTACGTGTCGCGACCCGTTTTTCGGTTGGGGCCTCCGGTCGATCTGTTAGGCCTCTAGCTTTCGCAACGACGTTGAAACCTCCTAAAACCCTTGGAAACCCCTCTTTTGACGTGTGTGTGTGTGTATGTGTGTATGTGTGTGTCGCTCCCTACCCATCCACCTCACCCCTTGCATATGCCGTACAGTCAATTGATGTACGGCCGCTGACCCACCTGGCCAAGCTTGCCGCGCTGCTGGTGGCGCGGTTCGCCCTGTCGCTGTCGCTGTTGAAGGTGTGTACGTATGTATGTATGTCCCCTGGGAGCGCAGGTGGACTGGTTAATGGCTGGTGGTACGGCAGAGATTGTACGGCTTTGTGGGTGTAGGGAACGTGTCACATAATCGTGTATGGTGACCGTTAGCCCCCTATGTGAGCCTGCGCCGTTGCAGTGTACGGCAATATTCCCCATGTGCGCAACAGTAGCTTTTTCGCATTCTCTTTATTCTATGAGCAGTGAGCTGTGAGGTGAGGTGAGGGTATTAGCAGTAAGCGTTTAGAAACGGAAAACATACATGTTCCGCTCACCGTTGTCGTAACCGTCGTACCGTTTATCGTTGCGCAGGTCGTTGACTGGTCCGACCTGACCGCCAAGCAGTTGCTGACGTGGCGCATCTTCATGCAACACCTGCTGAGCAGTTGCAAGACTGCAGGTGAGGTGGTTGGAGGTAGTTGGTGATAAGTTGGATGTTCGGCTGCCAGTTGGTTTGCGCAAAAGTAGTGGGTTAGGGGTAAAGTGCCCGGAAGAAAGGAAACCGCTGGCAGTTCTGACACGGTGTTTTTCTCCCCCCCCCTTCCTCCCCTTTGTCTGCCGCGCCTCATCGCCCTGTTTTCCCCCCCCCCCCTCCTGACAACAACTCACACTCAGGTGATGTCAAGCAGGTCTTTGCACGCGTGGCCTCACAACCCAAGGTACGACAACTGTACCATGCATGTCGTACTGTGCATGCCGCCGTACTGTTGCTGAGGTTACAGTGCGCCGTGTCTTGTGCACCTTGCCGTGTCCAGCCTAGGGCTGTTGTCTCATGCCAGTCCCTTCCCCCTCCTCCCCCTCCTCGGCAGCAGCTTCACTCGTTCGTGGTGCGTCTTTCCCGCCTCCTCCCCCTCCCACCCCCACCCCCCAGCGCTCCTTCCCCCTCCTTCCCCCTCCACCCACTCCCCCCCCAGCGCTCCTTACCCCTCCTCCACCCCCCACCCCCACCCCCCAGCGCTCCTTGCCCCGATCTCTTCCACCGCTAAGGCCCCCCTCGTCGCCGTGTTCCGTACGGCCCGCCCTTCCTCCCCTACCCCTCCAATGACCCAAACTCGACGTGCTCTTCCTTGCCCTGCACTCACCTCCCATCCTTTCGCCCCATCCCGTGTTTCCCCCTACCGCCCCCTCCCCGCCCTCCCTAAGACTCTGTCCCCCCTCATCTCGGGGCTCCTCCTCTTCTTGCGCTCCTCCTTCGCGCCCTGGGTGGCGATCAAGCTGCCGCCCGGTCCGGAGTCCGATGAGCTGTTGAGGCGGACGAGGGTGGCGGAGAAGGAGCTGGCGGCGGGAGAGGGCAGGGCGGCGGCGGTGGTGATTTGAGGAGCGTGGAGGTAGGAGGTAGGAGGACATGGGTAAATGTGTGCTTGAACGTTGTTGTGAGAAGGGAAGCGAGAATGGGGAGGGGGGTATGTGGGATAGAGGGGGGAAGGGAGGGGACGGGGGAAGGGGAGGACGGAAGAAGCAACGAAAGGACTTAAGAAAACCAACTTTGCTTGGGGGTACGTGCATGGAGGTCATCTTGTGTGCCTCTGTGTGTATGTGGTGTTGTTGTGTGTGTCTGTGGTGTTGTTGTGTGTGTGTCTGTCTGTGTGTGTGTATATCTGTTGTGTAAGGCGATCGTGCGTGGTTGCATATGATGGCGTTACTACAGCGGGAAGGATGAAGCCGACGAAGGAAGGAAAGGAAGGAAGGAGGGTTACAGCACGTGAGGCGATTAGAGAGATGTTTTTTCTTTCGATGCTGTGAAGGTGTTATCTTTCGAAACCACCGAGGGACGGATTTGGAAAAGAGCTTTGGCTTAGGTAGGTAGTTGTAGGGCCGAGTTTTGGAGAAGTTGAGGAGTTGAGTGAACCGAAGGAAAGTAAAATGGACGGGACGTTCTTACGCATGTGCGCGTTTTCTTGCAGTATGTGCGCGTTTTGAACTTCAAAACATTACACGTTTTCTTGCAGCAGGGTGTTCGATTCATAGGATGTTCATTCTATGCGGTACAACGGTAGAATCGCGAGTAGGTCGAGCGTCGTGGATTGCGTTAGGTGGCTCCGGACAATTGACTTTTTTGTAGTTGATTGCTAATCATATGATGTTAACCTGTTTGCGTCTTAAAATATTGTTTTGACCGACCGCCAAACATGAGTGCTTGCGGGGTCGCCGACAGGAGATGCTGCCGAAATTTTGCTTGTAACTCCATAGCATCCGCTCCGCCTCTGCAATCGAAATTACATCACAAACGTTGCGCATTTCAACATGGTATGAAGCATTATGTTCGGGTCGGACAGCCGGCCGCAAGTAGGCAAGCACAGGGAGGTTCGCTACGAATGCAAGGCGGAAAGCTGCTGTGGAGGAATCAATCATCTCCATTTGTTATGTGCAAATCAAGTGCTACGGAACGACACCCAAACATCGCGTTGGAACCTAAACAAGCTACGTTCTCATGGACAGAGCAATGGTACCCCGTCGGATTTCTCGTGGACCTCCCTGCCACAGAGCCAATTCCATTTTCCCTCTTCGACACCAAGCTTGTCGTCTGGTGCGTCTGCCTCCTAATCATAACAACGAACTGAGCTGCCAACGAACAACATGGCAGCAGCGCAAAGCGGAGCTCCTTTCCACCTTTGATAATATCTTCCCGGCGTTATCATTCCTCTTCCTCCTCCTCCCTGCTACCCTCCTCTCCTACGGTGCGCGCTTGATGAGCTTCCCTCCGATTTTCTCCTCACTCCCCCTTGTCCCGCCTCTCTCCACCCCACCCAGCCCGTTTCTCCCCTCTCGTTCCTGATTCTCAAAATCTCTAACTCTCCTTCCCCTCTTCCCCTCTTCCCCTCTTCCCCTCTTCCCCTCTTCCCCTCTTCCCCTCTTCCCCTCTTCCCCTCTTCCCCTCTTCCCCTCTTCCCCTCTTCCCCTCTTCCCCTCTTCCCCTCTTCCCCTCTTCCCCTCTTCCCCTCTTCCCCTCTTCCCCTCTTCCCCTCTTCCCCTCTTCCCCTCTTCTCCTCTTCCCCTCTTCTTTATCCTCCCCTTACAGGTACCAGGGCAATGGTCGTTGGGGTTGCATGGCGGATGAGTGCCCCCACCGCAGAGCGCCACTCAGCAGAGGTCGCCTCTATGAGGAGACCCCGAGACATAGGCAGCCACCGGTGGCGGCGGCGGCGGCGCCGCCGGCGGCCACTGGCTGTGCCGCCGCCAGCAGCGACGGGGATGGCCGCCGCGGCCGCACGTTCCTGTTGGAATGCGCGTATCACGGTTGGCAGTTCGATGGCAAAGGCCGTTGTGTACGACTGCCGCAGATGTTGCCGCCCGGCTACAGCCCTCATTCCACTAACAATAAGCAACCTGCTACTCCGGCTGCTAAGCTCGAGTCAGCTGTAGCAGCTCCCGGGACAACAACAACAACAACAACAACAACAACAACAACAACAACAACAACAACAACAGCAGCAGCAGCAGCAGCAGCAGCAGCGGCAGCAGCAGCAGTGCCTTGGGTTGGAGCAGGAGGAGGTGTAGGAGAAACAGCCGCCACTACTGCTGTACCCTTAGCAGCTACGGCAGTAGCAGCTAAGCCCGTGTCGAATGATTTCACAGCGGTAAATTTAAATGACGGCGGTGGCACCCTCGGGTACGGCAGCGGCACTGATATCAGCAGTAGCAGCAATGATAAATGCGGAGGGGCCTCTCAAAGGGTAGGTCATTGGCAGCAGCAGCAGCAACAGCAACAGCAACAGCAGGGATCTAGGAATGGGGTTTCGGAACCGGCGGTACGACGCAATTCCCTTCCCCGTGCCTGTTCTGGCAGGGCGTACCCCACAGCGGTGGCGCAGGGCATGTTGTGGGTTTGGTACGGCTGCGCTGGCGGCAATGGTAACGGCGCCAGCACTGTTCCAGATGAGTCGCTTATTCCGCTGGATTTTGCGGAGTTGGGTGAGTGTATACGAATGTACGGCGCGGTACGGCAGTCGACTATACACACGTTAGTGCGTCTGAGGAGAGGCTCCTGTTGAGCTGCTGTGCGTGTGCATCAGCATGTATGTATGTATGCATGTATGTATGTGTTCAAGATGTGATGCGAGAGTGTGTGTGATGGGTGGGACCATCTAAAGATTTCGATAGTCATAAACTCCAGTTTTCTCTTTAAATTTTACCCATGCGCCGCCGTACACAAATGCCGTACGTTCCAGGGCGCCAACGTGGCGAGGACTGGGCGCTGGTGGATGTTTTCATGAGGGACTTTCCGTACGACTGGGAAACCATGGTGCGTGCATGTACAAAACACGGCTCCAGACACAGCAGAATAGTGTCCCTGGTTCCAGGTTGCAGGTTCGATCCGGATAAACAGCGGAATAAACATCACTCGACAGTAAGAGGCCCCCCGGGGGCGGGGGAGGTAAACACCGGGGAAGGGGAAGTTCAGGGGCTCCGCCAGCAGAGGGCTGGTGGGAGGGGACATACATACACACACATACACACACACATACACACACACAAAGGGGCGTATCAAGCTGTGTTTCAAGCTGTGTTTCACCACTTTCCACCACTCCGACTTCACGCAAGTATGTGATGAAGGTGTTTTCTCAGCGTTCTTCAGTGCTCCAGAGGGAGCCTTGACGAAGGGCCCAGGGAACCTCGAGTGCTCCAATACGTACGAGCACTACACTACATATGACTTTCCAACATAACCCCATCTCATTTCATGTCGTGACGACATACAAATATTAACGCTGTCGTGTTGCGTGTGTTGCGGACTACAGGCTTTGCAGGTGTTGCTTCTTCGCCATTTTGACGACCTCACCACCCACCACTAACAGACAAGTGTCGATATGTCGGTTTTAACAAATTTCATGCTTTAATTTAATTTTTATATTTTCATTCTTTAATATAATTTCCGCTTTAGGGGATGATAAAGAATGAAAGTGGCTGGATTCTCCATCTTGTTCTTCATCTCCTAAAGGGGAACTCCATTTTTGTTTTTCATTCTTTAATCTTTTTCCTTGCTTTTTTTGCCGTACTTAGGTGGAGAACGTGGTGGATCCGTCCCACGTGGCTTTTGCACACGACGGCACAGGACAGGGCTTAGATCGCCACAGCGCTCCCCCCCTGGAGCTCGAGCTCACGAGATCCGGATCCAGCGGCTTTGATGGCAGGTGGTTGGGGACCTGGGTGCACGGCCCCCGGGGATGGGGGGATAGCGGGGAAGGGTGGGCGTTGGGTGGTGTGTGTGTGTGTGTGTGAGGGGGGGGAAAGCGGAATGAGTGAATTGACCCGACCAGCGCGGTGCTCCATCATTGTTGGCCGTTAGTCAAGACGACGCTGCCACATTTGTGTTTCGTTTCCCCCGTTCCGAGCCGTACAACAACTTTAAGATACTGGCATCACGATTGGAAAACCCTAAAACCCACCAATCGAATGGAAACGCAATTGCAGATTCCGGGGCATCCGAGCGCTCCAACGACAACCGCAACCGCAACAACAACTAACGGCCACCTCCACAACCTCCTCCTCGACTTCCTTTCAAGCTGGCGCCTGGTCGGAGCTGGTGTTCCGACCTCCTTGCCTCGTTAGCATGAAATTCAGTCTGCCGGGCAAGGGGGACGCGGGGCTGGTGTTGTACTGCGTGCCGCTGGGGAGAGGCAGGTGGGGGGCGGGTGTGTGTTTACGTGTACGTGAATGTGTATGTGTATGTGTATGTACATGTCCCGGGTATTTCCCCCCCCCACTTCCCCCCGATGGTAGAAGACGAAACGGCGGGACACACCTCGAGATAGGTTTTGTAGATTGAGATGAGCAAATGTAGTAACCGATATGTAGTAACCAATACCAATACCAATACCATCACCAATACCAATACCAATACCAATACCATCACCAATACCAATACCAATACCAATACCTATACCATCACCAATACCAATACCAATACCAATACCAATACCATCACCATCACCAATACCAGCTGGCTCAGGTGGGGTTCACAGGTGGGATCAGCACCCCGGGATACATTGTGTGAGCAGTGGGGTTGATGTGGAAAGGCCGATTCTGCATATTGTTCCTTATTGTATACTTTCGTACATTACAGATCGCGCATGATAGCTCGTCTCCCTCGCAACTTCTCGACCGGGTGGTTGGCGGGACTTCAGCCGCGATGGGCCAAACACCTGCCTCGAATGGCCGTACTGGATCAGGTACGACAGAAGTCGTACAGGCTTTATACTGCCGCGGTGCCATTGTCCTTCTGCAAAATATTTTAGATTACGCGATTTGGAGGCAATGACCATACAAATCATGCTGTGTTCTGTCGTACATATACGTTTCTTGCCGTACGCTGGCATGTGTCATGCTACAGCTTTTCCTGTGCATTTCCTTTACCGACCATCTTCTGCACAAAAGCATACATACATATATACATACACACATACACATGCACGCCGCCGCCCCACCCGTTCCCTTCCGGTCCTTTCCCACAGCTATATAACCCCGGCAACCAACCTAACCACCTCCTGTACGACATTACAACCGCCGTCATTGTAACTCTTACTTCACAACCCCTGTCAAAACATTGCCTTACCACCGCACCAACCCGCAAAAGGACATAGATTTGCTACGAGAGCAAGAGGCGGCTGTGGCCCGAGCTAAGACGAACACATACACATACACGTACACCGACAAGACACAAACACGTAAAGGCGATGATGATGGCGGCGCCGCTGCGGCCGCAGCCACCACCGACGGCGACAGCGGCAGCGATAATTCGGACTGGCGACACCTGTACGTCATGCCCGCTCCTGCCGATCGCTTTGTGGTGCAGTTCAGGCACTGCAAGACATGCTGTGTATAAATTGCAGGGAAATCTGTACGACATAAGTACGGCAGTGTGATGCATTAGAAAGCAAGCAGGAAAAAGTGTAACAGGACAGGGAGAGGGAAGGGTCCGCAGCTTCCTCGTTATCCGCTACCCTTCCGTACAACCATTCCCACCTGCCGTACCGAACGACTCCCCAACGACTTTTCCCCCGGGGCTTCCCTCCTGAAAGACGGTGGCTGGACAAGACGGGGGATTCTCGACCGTGGGCGATGCCGGCGTTGAGATCCAGTACGACAGTGGCGGCGGCGGTGGCGGCTTCTGCCGTACTCGCCACTTCTGCCTTCGGCGGCTCTTCCTTTGATGACCCGCTCCCGCGGGAGCGGGTGATGGACAGGTGGTCATGGCTAGGGTTATGGGTGGTTGTAGTTGGTTGCAAGTGGTTGTGTGTAGTTGTGGGTCGGATGTTTTTGAAATGAGCTGTGTTTTAAGCAAGTCGTTAAGTTTACTCCAGGACCATTAACCCCGGTTTGAAGTACCTAATGAGGGGACCGGCGATTAATGGGTTGGGAGTGTAGTAGGCTCCTCCATCCCCCTGTTCCCACCGCATCATCCAGTTGTTTTGCGCTTACGGGTATCGTTTCCCACTTGCAGCGGAGTCTAAACGACACTTCTTTAACTTCATCCTGCAGGCGCTTTCCGTGCTGCCAGCCTCCTGAAACCGATCACTCGCATCATGTAATTGTTGGACATCCATCTAACCCGCCCTCAGGCGCTGTCTCAAATTGTGTACCCTCGCAACCCATGCGAACGCAGGTACAGCTCCCACGTCCGCTCCTGCAGCGCTTGCTCCGCCGCACTAACGAACTTTCAACGATTAAACGCCGTCAGTCGTCTTGCGGCGCTCGTGATGGTGGCGGCGGCGGCGGGAGTCGCTGCAGCAGCCGCCACCGCCGCCGCCATCGCTGCACCTGCTGCAGCCTCCACGGCCGCCCCGGCGGCAGCTTTGGCGGGCGGGCCACTGGTGGTGATGACGGCGGCGACGGCGACGGCGGCTGCGGCGGCTACTGCCCGGCAGACAGCCGCTCCTGTGGCGCCGCCGCCAGCTGTTCCAGTTGTGGCTGTAGCGCTAATAGCGTTGGCGGCGCTGTGCGGCCTTGTAGCGGTATGGAGTGAGCACATGATCGGCAGGTTCTTATACACCGAGGAGGGCCGGGAGCTGCGGATGGATGAAGACAGGTTTGGACTTCGTATTTACGTATTGAGTTTCGGTTGCTCGTTGAATCGCTACCTAAAGTTGGTTGTTTGTTGGGTCAAAACCTATAGTTTAATAAAGATTTAATAAAGATTTACGTTATGAAAATGCGCTCTGTTTGCAGTCTTATGTCGACAGCTTTTTCATGCCAGTAGCGCGGTGTTGATCTGCTTGCCACCACGTGCTGCGTTTGGTTGTATAAGTTTCCCTTTTGAATTTTTGTACTTCACGTTGTACTGCAGGTGGTTAAGGAGGCTGCTTTTCTCTGGCACAAACTCCTTCAATTCCATGGTTGCTTTGACCAACAAGAAGCGTTGACCAACAAGAAGCGTTGACCAACGTTGACCAAGTGTAGTAGCTGGCCACCGAAAAGGCCCCTCGAGATTCTTCTAGCACGTATAAAGTCTTGATGGTGTGTGCTGTACTGTACGACAGCTACTATAACAAGAGTGAAGCGCTGTTTGTTCGACGATTGCCAATATCTGATGCGCTCTGACTAGTCAACCTAGAAGAAAAAGCGCCGTTAGTTGACCAAACAGCCAGCAAAACGTGCACGACGACGATGGAGAAAGTGTGGATAGTGTGGAAGCACCAAAGCGGTGCGTTTCCCCCGTTAGGTTAGCGAAGTCGATAGAGCGCTGAGCCGGCAAGCTTGTGGTCGTAAAGAAGGAATGTTGTTATTTCTTCTTTTCATTAATAACCTCGCCTAACACTTTTCACGCATTCACGAGCCATTGGAAGAATTTTTTTCATCTTTTCCATCCCGCCTTTATCTCGCGGTGATTAATCTCTCATGGAACGCTTTTCCATCCGATCCGGATCACGCAGTCGACTTAAATTCTTTGCCGCCTATAAATTAATCGCATCCCCTGGTACAATACAACAGGATGGTCCGCATGTAATATACCTGGACCCGATGTACAGGCGACCAAAACTCTTGGTAAAACTTGTTTTACAGACGCTGTAAAGTCCACTATGGCAGTGCGGGAATAAGCTTCGGGCGACTGCGTCAACAACTTATCACCCCCAGGGGGCTTAGTTTAGCTTAGTCTAGAGATGGGGGAGAGGGTGCCCAACCATTTGGCATTTGGCCAAAACAGGCCCTTCATCTCAAGAGCGCCCGCTTCATAAACCCGTTTTGGTGCACACGCAATTGTTACCCCTCTCCCCCCAACAGTACACTCAGTCCGCGGACACATGCACACTGCCACATGGTTACCACTCCAGCAACATACATACATACATACATACATACATACATACATACATACATACATACATACATACATACACACCACCGACACAATTTACTAAAAATTAGTGGTGAGAGGTTACCCTGTTACCCCGCAGACGATGCAAGACATCTTAAAGTGTCATGTTCCGTACACACTCAATATGCAGATTCCTCCGTCCAATAATAATAACAACGATAATAATACCAAATCGTTGCTGCTGCTGCTCCTCCGTCTTGCTCGTTTGTGTAACACACGCACACACACATTACACATTACACGCACACAGGGAGGAGCCGCCGCGCTTGACCCAATACACCGACATGCGACATACATACATACAGACAGGCGGCTGGCAGAAGTTAAGGCCTGACTTCTGCTCCCAGTCGATCCAGTCGACCCGGGTTCAAATCCGCCTGCCAGCTCCTCGGGTGTTTGAGGAGTGATGAAATGGGAGGTGGCCCCCCATCATATGGACGGTGTAGGACGTGATAATATCAACTTGCGAGCTGACCAGGAACTAAGTTGATGCGCCGTTGATCCGCTAGATTTGGTTGGATGCTGGTGGTGAGTTGCCGAACCCAACGAATACATTCTGAAGTCGGATGGGTTGACGGATTAGGGTGCCCCTCTAGCAGGGGAGAGCAGGGACTGCCCCGGGAAAGGGGGCCGCTGGCGAAGTTAACCACCCTGTAACAACATACATACAGACAGACACACGTAAACGGAAAGCACATCTACAACAGTGCGGCAGTCCAGCAGGTCCATGATTGGAGTGACGCTCAATGACTACACATTGTTACATACATATTAGGGTTTTAGGGTTTATATCCTATACACATTAGGATTATTTTCAGAAAGCAGAAATCCTAAAAGGGTTCTTCATTCGTGCTTTGCCATCTGCCCGCCGCCCCCGCCACCGCCACCGCCAGCGGCACTCGTCAATGCCGCCTTCAACTCCTCCTCTGGACTAAGACGACGAGTTCCAACATCCCTGCAACCGCCGCTCGGCCCATGTGCCGTACGTCCCTCCGATGATGGCAGCTCCGGAACTGCAAAATCCTCTTCGGGAAGGCGTGTCCACCTGCAGCGTCCACACCAGCATAGTAATACCCAAGCCCCAAACCCCAAAACACACGCGCGCACATACACACACACAGATATTTTAGTTAAGTCAGGCCGCCGAGTTCAGTACGACAAAACCCTAAGACCTCGAACCTGAAACCTTGGACCCCGACTCAAACCGTTATGTACACTCTGCACATACATACACACATACATGCGATATACTTGTACGGCGGTCCCACCTGTGTGCACACCCCTGGAGCCAGGAGGGTAGCACCACCGCCTTGCCCTGGGTGCGAGCCCGGTGCACCTGGACTCCCCGGGGGTGGGGCGGGAAATGGGGTGGAATGTGTGTGTATGTGTGTGTATGTGTGTGTGCGTGTATGTGTGTGTATGTGTGTATGTGTGTGTGTGTTACACACATGCATAAGGAATGCACACACGTGCACGAAAAGAAACATGCACAGAAGAACGTACACTTTTTTTATAAATCAAACAAAAGCAAACACACACCTTTTCCGTGCCACCCGCGGCAGCCACGACATGTGTTGTGACCCCCGGGTCATAGGTGGTTAGACAGTTGGCCCCCAACGACATTGCCAACTGCCATAACGGCTCCCTGAGGGGGTTACGGTCTTGAGGCCAGCAGCGGCTGAAGGTGATACAGCAACCCTGAGGCATCAACTCCAGGGGGGGGGAGGGAGGGGGGAGGGAGGGAGGGAGGAGGCAAAAGGGGGCCTGATGTCAAGGATATGCCCGTGTCACTCGGCTAATGTACATATCTCCCCCTCCCCTCCCCTCCCCCCGCCCCCCCCCTCCCTCGCCAGCACCCCGGCTGCACAAACACAGCTGCTGCCAGTGGCAGTGGCATTTCCTCAAGGTCGAACTGACGGATGCAGACGTACGATATACGTACAGGTCTATAATTACGTATACGTACGTATGTATAACTGTCTTGCACTAGGCTCATCTTCACTTCCTAGCTAGACTGTGGATAGGTACGAGTGCGGCCATTACCGTTCGTACACATCTCGTCGCGCAGAGGAAATAACGGCGGTAATGGGCTAAACCACTGCTGTTTGAAAAACTGCCGAGTGAGGCACTGCTGTTACATGATCCTCAACCTCCTCCTCCTCCTCAACCTCCTCCTCAACCTCCTGCTACTCCCTCCCAACCTCCTCAACCTCCCACCTGCAGTATCTCACGGCGCTGCTCGGACAGAATGTCCCGCACATCCCTTCGCTCCAGGGGGGGCAGTGAGGGATCATCCGCGGAGAAAAACCTGCGGATGCGGAGGCGTTGCGGACGGGTTGAGGGTTTTGGGGTTTCGGAGCCCGAGGGGCCCTCTCGACGACATGGATGGCACGACAACGGGAAATGACGATGGCGATGATGGAAAGGGCGGTTGAGAGCTTTCCCCCCCCACCCCCGGGAAGGTGCTGAAATATATGATGTCACTCTCGACATCATCATCATCATCATCATCCGGCGCGGGCCGGGACCACAAACGCTAAAAAAGAAGCCGACTTCGCATCACCTCCGCTTCCACTCAACCTCTTTTCGCCATCAGAAATACACACATACATACTCACAGCTCATGCATGGACGCGCGTGTGTACACATGCAATGGATGCGGATATGCCGTACCGTGTGTGTACGGCGCGCAGTACACGCATATGGGCGGCCAGAGCGCCATCCGTAGCGCTCTCATCGCTGTCCTGAAGGTGCCCATTGGGGGGAGGGGGGCAGTGGTGGCGGAGGGGGGGGGGAATGGGCCGGGAGGGGGGTTAGCGACAACCCCAAATGCTGGCGTGTGTGTGGTGGTGGTGGTGGGGGGGGGTTGGGGGGGAAAGACGAACCACGAACCAGTGAAGCTGGGGGGGAACAGACAGTCAGACGAAGGGGCGTGACGGAGGGGCGTGACGGAGGGGGGACCAGGGGGGGTGTTCTGGGTTTTAAAAAAAGGCGGGAAATGAAGGACCGCGAATTCACACTGAGGTATTCCGGATGAGGGGGGAGAAGTCGCGGGGAAAAAGGGTGAGGTGGAGTGGGGAAGATGGTGGTGAGGTGTTGTACTGCCCAGCCCGCCAGTTGGCAGTTAGTGGTTGGAGTGACTTCGGAGGGAGCGGAAAGTGACGGATCGCAAAAGAAGACGATTAAAATTGCCGCATCCCTGTGTCGTACAAGAAGCCGTACAGGAGCTCTCCCAACGCTTCCCTACCTGCTCAAGCAGTGCCGTACCGTCTACACGCCACTTCCGCAGGTCCGACGGGAAATAGTGGTAACGCTCAACCTGGAAATCGTGCAGTTCCCGATAAATTAATTATTTTAATAAACTTGTTAACAAATTCTACTTCTTCGATGTTTGATATGGCGGTGGAGAAGCACTGGCCCAGAAAAGACGCGCAACGGCCAGGCAACGGAAAACGGCGTAAAAAAGGTACTTCGCTATCTTGCCGTACAACGGAATAGCGGAATATAATAAAATTAAAACATTAAAAAAGAACTAAAACCTACAGCGATGTGGGACCGCCCCTCCTACCTGCAACAGATTCCTCCGGTGTCCTGGCCAAACCGCCTCCGTGTCGTCCAATACCAGAGCAAGCTCGTCCGCTGAACTGCGGTAGTTGACAGTTAGGTGTTAGCAGTTGGCAGCAAACGGTTGGGGCACATGCCGCTAGATAAGTCGGTTTCAAATATAGTTGATCGTTGGCAGTTGGCTGCTTAAACTTAGTACGGATCAGCAACGCGATGCTGTCCAACCTCATAGCCGCTCAACCAACTCCCGCTCCCGCCAGTTAGTTAGTTAGTTAGTTACTTCCCAAAACGTCCCTCTTGCGCTCCAGCTCTTCCCCCGACCCTTCCCCATTCACCTCTTCTATTTCGGCGCTTATCAATCCTTACATTCCCCTCCCTTTTCCCCTACCGACATACATACCTCAAAACACACATGCCAGGTTTAGGGAATCGCACGACGATGCAGAGTACGACAAAACCAACCGCTGCTGCCGACGCCGAAAGCACCGACTCCAACGCATCAACTGCCCCTCGTGCCGGGTTTCGGTGTATTAGGGTGGCAGCACGACGTTCCCCCTCCCCCTCCCCTCAGTTCTGGACATGGCCGTGGAGTATCCGGCATATGGATGGACAGAATAACTAGATAATTACAGTGCATTCGATCAGTCTTTAACCCCCCACCCCATCCCCCCTCTTCCCCTACTTCTTTCTGTTCCCCTCTTTGCCCAAAACCCAAAACCCTCCCCCACCCCCTCACTCACAGCAGCACGTCAAGATCCTTCGCGGTTGCGGTGGTGGAGTGGTCTTTTGCGATAACAGAGGAGAACAACTTGCCAGTGGGGTCAAGCAACCTGTGCGCGTGCGTATGCGTGTGTGTATGTGTAAGTGTGTTTTGGGGGACGGGTAAGGGGGGGAAATGGGCTGTCGAGGGTTGGAGGACGGGACGGACGGGAAAGGGCCGGGGGAAGGCCGGGGAGCGGGGGGTTTAGCAAGGGGAATCAGTGATACGTGCGCGAGTGGGGTATTTCTTTCCGTACCGTGCCGTACACAGAATACGCAGGATATGTACCTGCATACATACACGCATACATGGCTCGCAGTTTACGGGCATACGCATACACGCGACGTGCGAACCGACCAGCACTTTCCCCTCTCCCCCTCAGACCCCTCGTGCCCAAATCCGTGTCTGAAAAACACCCACGCTCCCCTTCCCCCCTCTTTTCCTGCTTTCCCTCCCCCCCTCCCTCCCCACAAACACACGCACGCCGTCTCACTTCCGAACCTCCGCCGCGTACGTCTTATCCCCCATCGTGTAAATGTGCATCTCGTAATCGTCTCTCAAACCCTGGTAGGTCAAATTTGTGGGTTGCGGGTGCGGGTGGGAGGGTACGTGTATATGCGGGGGGGGGGCCATTTCAGGCACAAGTATACGACAGCTGCACGACAGCGACAACGACCCAAACCGGAAACCCCACTTCCCCTTCTCCTAACCCACATACCCCACCTCCAAGAACTCGAACACCCCGGGCCGGAGTTTGGTCCACAACTTATTTTCCGCAAGTCGGTGCAGCAGCCGCCGAGGGCCCAGGTTAGCCTCCTGGGGGGCCGGGGGTGGGGGTTTGGAGTGGGTTTGGAGGGTGGTGGAGGGGTGGCGGAGGGGGTGGTGGAGGGGGCTTGGATGGTTGGTGGAGGGGGGAAGACGAGCCACCGGGGGGTCAAGGTGGGAGGGGGGAGGAAAGGCAAACGGACCCGAAATGGGTCTGGGAGGAAAAGGAAGGGAAAGGATCGTAAATGAGATAACGCCTACACGTACGCCCCCTTCCTCACATTTTCTTAAAACACAAATACAACACCCCAGCACATACACATACACACACCCCTCCCTCCCCCCCGCACCTCCTCGCGGCGCAGCACCTCGGCCAACTGGGTTGCCGTATCCGGCCCCACCTCCGAGGTGTGTACGGAATTGAGCAGAGTGTGATCCAGATCCAAAATCAAAATCAGTCGCCGCCGGGACAACAGCCGTGTGACGGTTTCCCTTCATAATTCATCAAGGGGAGAGGAAAGAGGCCCCGGCCCCCGGGGGAGGGAAGAGGGGGTGGGGGTAGTCCTGTGGGTTTTAAATCAATGCAAAGGTCTGCTTTGTTATGTTGGAATGCCATGTCATGTCATGTTCCGTTACGTTACGTTATGTTGATGGGGGGTGTTACACACTGTGTGGGCGGCTCTCGTCCTGAGAAAGGACGAGCACCGCGCAAGGCCCTGACCGGACCGGGCCGGGGGACGAAACACAGCGCGGGGGTGGGCTCGCGGCTCGGGGCTAGTTTCGTCTGTTCCTCTCCGCGCGCCTCACTCACTCACTCACTCACTCACTCGCTCACTCGCTCACTCACTCGCTCACTCACTCACTCGCTCACTCACTCACTCGCTCACTCACTCACTCACTCACTCACTCGCTCACTCGCTCACTCACTCGCTCACTCACTCGCTCACTCACTCACTCACTCACTCACTCACTCACTCGCTCACTCACTCACTCACTCACTCACTCGCGCCACAGCCTCTGGGCGCTCTCCCAGCCCCTGGCTATAGGCAACACAGCGGCGCAGAAGAAGACTGCGAACCGAACTAAGCGAGAGCCGCGCGAGAGGCGCCACACAACCTCTAGGAACCCTAAACAGGCTATCTGCCCCCATATTGCGCCTGGCCTGCCTATTCGCGCGCTCTCGTCCCTCTTGACCGCCAAAACAAAAACAAATATGTAATATGTTATGTATGTTCCCACCGTCACAAACACCGTCACGACACATACATACATACACATACATACATACACATACATACATACATACATACACACACCTGCGAATGCGGTCCGCCTCGTCCGTGCTGACTTCTACCTCCTTACTCGCGTGGAGGTGCTTAAGCCGTACAACACCCGACTGCATGTACGACATGAGAGAATACGCATTATACAACGTAAGAATGTTGCGGAGCTCGGGGTTGAATATACGAGGTGGGAAGGAAGGAGAGCATAGCGGGGTCTGCGTAGCGGGGCCTGGATTCATATGGATTTAAAGGAGTAGTATCCAAAATGAAAAGTAGATTCAAACGGAGTGGATCCAAGCCCTGTGTTGCTGATACGTCCTACCTCGTCCAATCCGCCGTACATCGTCGTACAAACGCAAATACCCTCGTGCACACTGACACCCCACAAGTTCCCACACGTGGCGCGATCCCTTCGCCCTATTGTGTGAGGCACCAGACAAAGGGAATTGCAATAAACGGTTGACTAACCAACCAACTGACCAACTAACGCGACATGGCACACCAACGGCTCGCCCCAGCAGCCTACCCGGACACCCCCGGCGGCGGGCCAACCGCCAACCGCCCCTGCGACCGCCAGGTATCCGCTTCCACTGCTGCTGCCGCCAACACCAGCGACGCCGCCAAGGTACTGCCCGTACTTGTCGTACTCTGCGTCTGCTTGCGCCGCCGCTGCTGCTGCCACTGCCGCCTCTACTGCCGCTTCTTTACTAATGCCGCAGAGTCCGCACAATCCAAACACCCAAACAGGATGGGCGCATGGGGAAGTGGGGGGGGATGCGGAGGGGGATGTGCCGGCTGCGGCGGCGGCGCCGCCGCCACCGTCGTTGCGGCGCCGGCTGGCGGCGCCGGCACCACCGCAGTCGCTGAACCTGACCACACGTTGTCGCTTGGGTGGCGGGGGATGGTATCCTGCCATTTGTTTGAGGTTGCGGATTGAAAATGCGGGGAAGGACGGAATTATCGAAGGGGCCACAAAGCGAGTTCGATAATTGCCGATGAGGGGTGGGACAGGAAGAGTCGGGAGACGGAAGGGGCGGGTAAGGAAAGACCTGAGAAAAGGAAGGGGAGCGGAGAAGGGAAAAAGGAGGGACGGGGAAGGGGCCGTAGAGTATGAAAGCGTTTTAAGGACGGAAAGGAGATAAATCCGCCTTGGGTATGTTTTCCATGCTGCAAGGTTCGTGCATGTCATTAACATTTTAGGTGTTTCAAACCCCATTCCTTCCGGGGCCGTTTCAGAGCTTTACTGAGGTCCAAAGCGACATGAAGATTTGGGCCGTACAGTAGGTGGCGCCTGGGAGCGGAGGTCTGCTGCTGATTTGTCCCACTCCTCGGGATGTTACGTTGGGACACAACCCAACTCTGACAGGAAATTGCGCGTGTTACGGGGTAGTACGTAGTCGTCATGAGCATGTGCAAGGAAAGAGTTGCTTATACCTACGCAAGTTTAGCCTCGACAGCTGCACCTAATATAGATGCAACCCGAGGCTGCCCAGGCAAGCAACCTCGTGTCTTGCTCACCAGTATCCTCTTGAAGCGCCTCGATTTCGGTAAAGCCTTGATCACCTAGTTCGTCCAAGTCAACCTCAGAGCTGGAAGAAGAATTCCCGCCCTCGTCGTCGTGCTTTGGGATGTTTCCGTCATCGTCATTAGCCTGTGTACATATTAAGCTTAGGCAAGATCATGTGTACCTATGCAGGCAAGATGTCCCAGCTATTTATGTCAACTAACCTGCTCTTCTGCTTCATCCTCGCCAAACTCGCCATCGAAAGCAGCCGCAAGCTCGTCATCTAAACTGCCTGGTGGAGAACCTTGATCTGACATTGCTATTGCTAAAAACAGATCGCATATGTATGTTGCAATTCACGGCGCAACTAAGCAGGGACTTCTTAAAAAAGCCTCAGAGCCTTAAGATTTCCTTGTGCTGAGGCTTGATGCGCCAAGCAAGCAGAACTTTAAGATTGTACATTGCGACAATATGACGGAGCTGCAGCACCTGTCCTCGAGACGCCGTGAGGTCCGACAAACCACACTGCTACAACGAACCTCGGCGAATCCCAACGCTCGCTGCACCGAACTCTACTGTCTCTAAACCACCTAACCAACCGGGCATGCGCGTTTCATTTATCGAGTCAGTCAGCAGCCAAATCGGTTAGCAATCACACTCTTTCTTGGAGTGCAGCGAAACGGTCAGCACAAACCCATCGACGCACCTGTACAGATGGCAGTTCTTCCCTATCTTTCAACGCGCGCTCGCTGCTCCCCCGGCCCCTCTTGAGCACAATATTGAGACACCTTAGGTCGGGAGGGGGACGCGCCCTGGTGTGTCCATTGCTGGTGCTAGCTAGCTAGCTGCTGGACGGCGGCTGCCATGAAATTAACACATATTCCGCAAATCTGCGCGTCCAGACCATCCCGCAAATGCATAACTTATGACATCGATGTTAGGCGCCATGATTTCAGTGAAGCGCCATGGATTCAAAAAGTGTTGCAAATCTCGGAGTTTAGATTCGATAGATTTACTCAACAAAAATAGCTTTAGCCAGCTGACACGTCAGCTCGTTTCTTACAGACGTTGTATTCACAGCTGGTGTATGCATGTGCCCATCCGTCGAGCTGTCAGTCCTTTTTTATAATTGCTCCAGCCAAGTACTGGCACTTGGCAGCTGACGCAGCATTATGCGTTAGGGCTGTGTGGCCTCCAGAGATTCGGGCCGTTAGTTGGTTATCGGTTAATAACCCAACCGCCTTGTCGACACCCACGCAAAATTCAGACCGACCGACCGACCGACGGGCTGACCAGAAGACCCAAACGTGGACGGACAGACAGATAGACAGACAAATAGACGGACGTACACCACACGTACACAATGCCCAAATCGCAAAATGCAAGCAAACAGTCCGCAAGGGACGTTCGGGCTGTCGTTGCTTGGCAACCCAAACACAGGTATCTGTACGGCATTTACTAAACCAACAGTGCTAGTAACGCCGTACAAGCACGAAAGTCGAACACACTTTAAAAGCCTGCGACATAGTCAGCATGCTCTGTCTGTCTCTCTGTCAGCCTCATAGCCGCACTCTACACCCTCCACGCCTCTTTCGCTCCCCGTAACGGTCAACTGGGAAATCGCATGTGTGCACAACGAAGCCTTGAGGTGACAGCGCAAGCAGTACAAACAAAAAACACATCTAATAAATGACATAGACAACTAGACCAACGTCTCTAACGGCTGCTTGGTGTGCACGTGCACACGGTGACAACATCGCAGTAGCAGCAGTAGCAGGCAGCAGAGGTAGCCGGCCGCCGCCCGCACCACAGCCACCGATGCCAACACCCCGGGGACCTCCCCATTTGCCACTCATCACTTCTGTGATGACATAAATATAAATATGTGTGTGTATGTATGTATGTGTGTGTATGTATGTATGTGTGTATGTATGTATGTGTGTATGTATGTGTGTGTATGTATGTGTGTGTATGTATGTGTGTGTATGACTTAGATTACACTGTGAGCCGCCAGGGGCCGAAGCCGAAACACAGCGCAAGGGTCAGGAGCACACAGCACAAGTGTGTGTGTATGTGTGTGTCTCGAGAGATCAAGATCTGCGTATATGCCGCAGCTGTGTTAGACCCAACAACACACATCCAAAGATAGCCTCGCGCCACTGCGTCATATTACACCAGTACTGGAGTATCATTACAGGAATATCCGTACTGGTTCCATTCTGTCGTACTGATGTAAAGGAATCATTTTACATCCGAGCACATTCACAGCTCATGTAGTAGTTGGCCGCTGCTGAAAGGCCTCTCGAGATGCTCGTGGAGAGCTTTGCACGTATTTGTACATGTTGTGTGTGCCGAACTGTGTAACAGCTACTTCAGCTCAGTTCATTACGTCTCATACAAAGAACAACAGAGAGTCCAACTCGCCAGCTTCCCCCCTGCAACCACACCTCCGTCCGTCCGTACATCCGTACATACACACACACCGTCTCTCTCACACATACATACAGAGAAAAACACACTCTTATCGTGCTGTTCATTCACAACACGCAAACCCTGCCTTGGCTTGTTGAACGGCCCCCTAGACAGGGAAACCCCCCTTTTCTCTCTCCCCCTCTCTTTGCTCATGTCGCTGTGCATGTGCATGAGCCAGCAGTCCAAGCTTCATTCTCCTGCTGCTGCTGCTGCTGCTGCTGCGCCTCCTGCTGCCGTCCACCAGAATTAAAAGTTTGAGCACAGTGACATACATACATACACACATAACACACACTCTTCTGAGGGCATACCTACCCCCCAATCACGGCGGATGACTCCTGCTACGCTCTTCCCAGCAAAGAAAGCAAAAGGCGCCTCCTAAGCCGAAACGGATACCCCTCAGAATGCACTTTTTCACCCCGCCACAAACATACATACAGACAAACAACCCAAGACCGAGTGAAAGAGCGACCTTCACGGCTAGGACGGACACCATGATCGCGTCTGCACTTTCCTTTTTACGGTCCCCTCCTCCCTGGAAACAAAATACACATATAACGACGGAGCACACACACAGACAGACAAACACACACACAGACAAACACACACACAGGGGCACACACACAGACACACACAGACACACACAGGCACACAGACAGAGACACACACACAGGCACAGACAGACAGACAGACAGACAGACAGACAAACACACACAGGCACACACACAGACACACACACAGGCACACACACAGACAGACAAACACACACACAGACAAACACACACACACAGATATGAAAGAGAGAGAACACACACCTCTGCCCCTTAACATCCCACCAGCCACCACCACCTAGAACCACCGGTCCTCCTCCACCTCCATCCTCAACTCTTTGCGATGCAACCCAGTAACAGCCGCTCTCCCTCTCTCCTCTGCAATTGTGTTCACAACCTTTCCCACACACCTTTTACCTCCCTAACCGCACCGCACTCCCTTCCTTACCCATTCCCTCCTTACAGCCATTCGCCCGCCTCCTCCTCCTCCTCCTCCTCCTCCTCCCTCCATTCGCCGCCAACTCACCTTACCTCATCCTTACCTTACATCATTCAACTCGGCTCGGCTCACCCCTTACACCCATTGGTTTGGTTGCAGTGATGGCGCCAAAAAATACAACAGCTTGTTAGTTTTGAAAAAAATGATGCGTTTTGATTCACGCAGCAAGGTCAACCAAGATATATAACCCATATAACCCATATAGGTTTAATACATACATATATATATAACCCATAAAAAACCTTTTACACCGGAGCGGGAGGGTGGGACCGCAAGGGGCCCTGCGGCGATGTGGACGGCGATAGGTTCACGGCTGTCCAGGGCAACTCGGGAACGTGCTGCAGACAGATCGGAACGGGGACAGAAGCTGAGGGCGGTGTGGCCGCCGCCGCCGCCGCCGCCGTCCCTGCCATCGTACCTACAATGGGCCCGTTGACCGCATTCTTCTGAAGGTTTTGCAACATGAGGCCGCCGCCGCCGCCGCCGCCGGCCCCGGCAGCGGCAGCGGCGGCCGAAGCTGTCGCTGCCGCAACCTGCCGTAGCCTACCGCTGATGTCGGCTGCTCCAGGGTTTTGGCCAGTCACCATCCATGGCGGTTGCCGGTACGGAAATGACGATGACGGTTGCGGTTGTGGCGGTTGCATCATGATGCCCATTTGCGTTCGAATATCCGACATGTGCGTTTGGAAATGGGGACGTGTCTGAGTCTGGGCCTTCCGCGTTTGTTCAGCCTGGGTCTGTACGGCAGCTGTTTCGGCGGAAAGATGAAAGCGCAATTGCTGGTTCTGTAGCTGTAGTTGCTGTTGTAGGAAGTTTTGGTTCTGTTGATACGTGGGAAGATGAGGCGGCAGTAGCAGCAAGGGTGCGTGAGGGGAAACACCCACCCCTAAAACCGCCGCACACGATGACTGCTGCTGTTGTAGCTGTTGCGGTTGTAGCTGTTGTTGTGCAGCAAAGGTATGATGTGCAGTCTGTTGTTGTGGGACGTACGGGTTGAGTACGACACAGCGGGGGCGGTCTTGGTCAGTGGCATGCTGGCTGCCTCTGCTTTGTTGTGTTATGAGTGGATTGTACGGCTGAGGTTGGGCAGCGGCGGCGGCTCGGGACGAGGCGGCCAAGGCTGCTGCAGCAGCGGCGCCGCCGCCAAGAGACGTGCGAGGCTGCTGACCACGCGCCGTCGATGCCTGCAGTACATCAGCGGACGCAATGGACTGCATGTGCTGCCTTGCCTGTTGTGGATCGGATGGCGAAGCTGCGCCTGGAAGGGTGGCGCCGGGGGAGGTGGCTGCCGCCGCCGCCGCCGCCCCGATATGCGACGGAGTTAGGGAGCCACGAGGTCGCGCAGCTCCGCTGCCGCCGTCGCCAGCCGCCGGCGGCTCCTGTTGCCCTCGTCCTACGGCAGGCCTGCCGCTGTCTGACCTGGCCCCGGCGGCTCTGACGGCTGCAGCGTTCCGCGCCCAAACGTCACCTGCGTCGGCTGCTGCCGTACCTGGCCTGCCGAAACTCAACATCGCCAAAAAGGCGTCCACATGAGAGCCAAAGTCCAGATCTGCCGTCGCGGCAATTTCCATTGCGCCGCCGCCGCCGCCGCCGCCGCCGCGACCAGTCTCCAATGCTCGCTGCCGCTGGGCCCCCGACTGCTGCTGCTGCATCAGCCGCGACAGCAAAAGCGCCGCAGTTTGCTGCTGCTGCTGCAGCAACTGCCGTAGCTCCTGTTGGGAATACATCTCCCGGGGAATTGTCGCCGCCGCCGCCACCTGCGGCAGGCTCAATAAGGGTCCCTCCCCTTCAAACTCCCGGCGAACGAGGGCCTTATCCCCCGCGCGAGCAGCCTGACGAAGGGCGTTCCAACCAGGATGGGGCCGAGCATTTGCGTGGTCCCTCTGACGGCGACCTGAGGAGGGTTTTGGAGCGTTTTGGAGAGTTTTGGAGAAGGATTTCGGGATTTGGGTTTAGTTTTTTTAGAGTTTACACATCTGAGCACTACTACAAGTCATGCGGAAGCAAGGCCAAGCAAGGCCAAGCAAGGTAAGGAGGGGAAAGACGACCCACGAGCGAGTGAAGCTGATGCCAAGGAAAGACTGCTGCGGCGGTAAGGAGGGGGGGAGCTATGTGCAGAGGCAAGGGGGAAGGAAAGGGACCCAAGGGAAAGGCAGTGAGTGGTTTTCCATGCCAAGAAACCAAGTTATGGAAAAGCAGCAGCTGGGAGGTGAATAAGTTCATATAATTTGTGGTGTAGGAAATCTCGAGCAAAACCCAGCAAGCAAGCAAGCTCACCGCTGCATGTGTAAAGTGCATGTGTAAAGTCAGTGAGGGCTACAAGTGTGTGCGTTATGTGCGGGGGTTCATATGTAGGGGTTGGTGGTCTCCACCAATCCCCCCCTTGTCCGTTGCTTCATGCGCCCTCCCTTCCTCGCCACCCAACCACCCAATCAGAGCTTCGGACGTCGGCACCTGACCCCTTGCTCACTGCTCGCAATGATTAATGCCCCTCTTCCTCCCCTCCGCATTGGCTTGGCATTACTGCTTTCTCTGCTTTTTTAGTCCTGGCGGCTTAGGTAGGTAGTTTTTCCGACATCATCTTCACTACGTCATCCCGAGGTCGCCGTCTTCACGGACGCCTTTCGGTCAGTTCTACGTCTGGTACACTCTTGCTCTGGCAGCAGCTTCACTCGTTTGTGGTTCGTCTTTCCCCCCTCTGCACTCTCAATGGTGGTACCCCTCCTCGGGCCCCCCATGTGGCCGCCGACTTCCCAAAGAACACAAGACGTATCCTCGAGGAGGACGTGTGGCGCTGCGCAGTCCCATTTGTGATGCGCGATGACTCCACACACAAAATGTTTTCAACACCCGACTCAAGTACGAACAAATGATTGTCGTACACAACTGTACTGCGACAGTCACAACTGGTCCGTACTGGACACGTACAGACCATTTCCATTTCATTCCTCGTTTTACTTGACTTCCAGATTAGAGGACCACGTGGCTTGGTTTCATCACACACGTGTGTGGAGGCATGTGCAAATACATATGCACACGTACATGCATATGTAAATAGACTTAGACCCGTACATATACGTCCGTACAATGTCGTACCTGTGCCCCAGAACTGACACTCCGACGCCTTCACATCGCACACGAAGCAGTAGCACTGAAGAGTTGGTGGAAAGAGAAGCGGAGCGGAGCGGAAAGGGGAGAGGGCGGATTAAGAAGGCGTCAAAAAGATGAATAATTATAAAATGCAAAACACCCGATCCAGCTATACTTTTGTCCTTAGCCGACCCCTCCGCAACCGTTACCACCTTCACTCGAAGCATCCTAACCCAGCCACGACGAGCCCTAACCACCACTACCCCTCTACATACATACACATACACACACACCTGCTCGCAGCACTTGGCATTGGACTCGACCGCAGCCATATCGCGATCGAAGTGGTGCTCGGCGCAGTGAGGTCGGGGGTGGGCAAGATCCCGGGTCACCACCTGGAATGTGAACCAGATCAAAAAAAGGATTCAGGATCCAGAATCTAGCAAGAATGGGATTGAGGAGGCGGGTTAAGAAGGTTGCGGGGTACGGTGCTGGGGGGGTGAGGGGGGGGAAAAGAATGAGGGATGTTTCTGAGGGTTTGGCATGGTTCGGCACAGTCAGGGATTTTGGGGGTGTTTTGGGTGGGCCCCAGTAAGAGTGAGAAACTGGTGCGGGATGAGGATGAAAGGACCGCGGAGCCTTGGAGGGTAGGACGGGGGAGCTGGGGATGGAGGAAAGGTTGAGATTCATACTTTTTCTACTTTTTCAAAGGATACACGTTTCAAAGCCTGACCAAAACTTAAAGGAGCAGGCTCCTCACCTGTCCCACCATACCCACGATGCGAAGCTCCTCATCGGATTCTAGATCGTCACCATCCTCCGGCTTGTCGCTAAGAGGAGGCTTGTTGACCGCTATCTTCGGAGATGGCTGGCGAATGCAAGGTCGCTTGGCCTGCTGCTGTGAAGCAGCCCCATCACGGTCGTTGCTTTGGAATTCACCCACTATGACAACGTCGCTGTCGTCCGATGAGGCGCTTGTCGTTGGCGGTGAGACAACGCATCGCCTCCGGTTTCGGGAGCCCGCAGGCTTACCCTGGCCACCACCATCAGGGCTCCTAATCTCGTTGCTTGCAACGCTATCGTTCTGTTCGTCGTCACTGGTTGGCGCCGGTGAGTTGTTGTTGTTCAAGTGTTCATGTTGCGATTCTGAGGCGACGGTTCTCCGAAGTCGCCTACGGCTTCTTTGAGAAATAAGAGTTGCCGCTTGGAGCTTCTTGTCGCATGCTTGAGATGCTGGCTCCTTGAAACGAGCCCTTGTGCGAAACGCGATGGCGTCCATGTCGATGGGTCTATGCCTCCTAAACTGAACCGTGATAAGTTTAGGAAAGCTTACATAGCGCGGAAACTCGCCAGCATAGCCCAATCGCAATGGCCGAGTCGGTGCTGCCTGCGTTCCCTGTGTAACGTCTACGTTTCAGTTCATTTGCGCCCCAGTACTAATACAGTAACAGAATAAGGCAAAACGATGTTTTCTGTGGGAGGAAACCCATATGTTTACAACCTCGCTTGTTTCCAACCGCCACCGCAGCGAAGCGATGGTTTGGTTAACTTCGCAACGCTTCCTGGTGTACGGAGCGCCTCAATCAATAACGCAGCAGCACATAATGAGCACACAAGAACAGCACGTGGAAATAAGACCTCAAGCCTTAAACCTTCAGTTATGCAACGGACTGCCCCAAAGCGCCGTACGTGCCTGAATGCGGTTACGTAAAAGAGAAACCCGGTTCAAATCTAACCCTACTCCCTGCGTGACCGCACTCAGCTCATGCCTCCATTAAACCCTCGAGCTTCATTTATCCTGCCTTATAAGCCCTGAGCCCCAGAAAACCAACTTCGCATTTCATGACTTTCCATCCCCTACGCACGAAAAACACCTATCCCCCACCCATCCCCTCACTTGCAACCCACAAACGAAATGGAAAGCCTAACCTGGCAACAGAGCATCCGTACAGTCTTCCTGACTACTTTCCGACTTCTCCTACAAAGAAATCGTTTATATTCTGCTGCTGCTCCCACAACACAGGTTCATCTTCCAGTACAAAGTGTATATGCATTGTAAGAAGAAGCTACAAGGCAGCTCAAGCGCCTTCCTTCCCAGCCTCTGATGTCTTGATGTGGATGCCTTGGAATTATCAAATCCATCTCCCGACGGAATGGCGGCGCACCGAAAGCGGTTGGAAGGGAACCGAGGGGAACTCAGATAATTCCCCCCCTTCGGAATGTGTTACAGGGTCCACTGGATCCATAACGCCAGCGGCAACAATATCCCCATCGGCGCCAACAACAGCAGTAGGCAGCGATATAGCGGCAGTACGGCTCACAGCTGCAGTTTAGCTGCCGCAAAGCAGGGAAAGAAGTCATAACAACACACAACGAAAACCGTTTACCCGATGATATATGATGCAGCCAAAGGCCGTTTCCCCTTGAAGATGAAGAAGATGCGATGTGCCACAGCATCCCGCACAAATTTTGCAGCACTCTGTCGTACTATGCCGTACATTACGGTACTTCTTCACACACGGTAACCCCTGCGTGAAAAAAAACAGGATGCGAGATGAATGACATAAACATAAAAAACATGCCGTACACCCTGCTGTACAGGCTGTGCTGTACACCCCCTGAACATAAAAGGTCTCTCCACTCGATGAACTTGCCTCCAGCCGATCCTCCCGCTGTCGGAAGATTCGTCCGTGCGTGCGTGCGTGCGTGCGGAAACATTTCCCATAAATCAATTTATTCACTTCTCGGCTGTGACTTACCTATATTGCTGTGAACAAGGAACTGAAATGGTCAGTCTGGCTGCGGGCAGAGACACAGCGGCCCCCCCCCCTCATATTGCCGTACTTGTTCGTACACCATGACGTGGCACTACCAACGTTCTCGCCCTCATCGTAGCTATCATCACATCCTAATACTCGCATCCCTTTTACAGCTATAAATCATAACACGTGTTATTTCAACAAAAAAAAACCGCGTCCCACTGAACCGCAAAAAAAAACACGTCCTCCACTGAGCCGCGACCTATATAAGTCTTATACCTTGCCTTCGCGGCGCGGCTCATCACCGGCTGTGACCGTTCCCCAACACGGCTCGGGTCTCTCACTCGCTTACATATTTTCCCTGTCCACCTACCTACCTAACTTCCTGACCTTCTACCTGACTTCCAAACTGACAACTGCCAACTGCCAACCGACCTAACCTCCCTCGTGACGGCGGCCATTATGCAAATCGTGGTGGCGGTGCCACGTGGTGGCCTCGTATTATCTTGGCGAGCTTCTAATAAAGACGTGCCAGACAGGCAGCAGCACAGGAATGGCCCCGTCATGGCTGCGGCGAAAGCGAAAGCTGTAGGGACGGCGGCAGTAGCAGCAGTAGCGTGTTGTCCTTCACGTTTGAGCTGGCTTCGCGAGAGTCCTGCTACAGCCAAAGGTACGATTGTGCTGATGCTGCTGCCAGCAGAGGCATCGTCGCCGTCGCCTCCGGCCTCATCCCGCCGGCGGCCTCGGCCGTCGCTGCAGGTGCCCCCGCCGCCGCTAGCTGCGGTGGCGGCACTCCGGCGTCCGCTTGCGGCTGTACTGCTGCTGTACTGCTGCTGTACTGCTGCTGTACTGCGGCTTTTTTACTTCCGCCGCAATGCCCTGCAATGAGGTTAGTCACTGGCATCATAAGCCGATGTGCCTTCCAACGCAATTCCCAAACTCAATTGCTCAATTTGATGACCCTGATCCTGATCTTTGTGCTCCTGCTGCTCCTGCTCCTGCTGCTGCGGCTCCTGCCTCTGCTGCTGCTGCTCTTCTTCGTGCTGGCTTTGATGCTGTTCAAGTTCCCCCTGTCCTTGCTGCTGCTGCTGCGGCGGCGGCTGCTCTTCGTGCTGGCTTTGATGCTGTTCAAGTTCCCCCTGTCCTTGCTGCTGCTGCGGCGGCGGCGGCTGCTCTTCTTTGTGCTGGCTTTGATGCTGTTCAAGTTCCCCCTGTCCTTGCTGCTGCTGCTGCTGCGGCGGCGGCGGCTGCTCTTCTTTGTGCTGGCTTTGATGCTGTTCAAGCTCACCCCGTCCTTGCTGCTGCTGCTGCTGCGGCGGCTGCTCCTCTTGTGGGCCCAAATAACGTGACAACCGAAGCTTCAGTCGTACACGCCGTACCGGGAGTCCACTTCCGGAGGCCCCCTTGCCGACTTCATCATCGAGGCCGAGGCGGCTGTCGCCGCCCCTGGCGGCCCCCTCCCTGCCGGCCCCGGCGTCTCCGTCCTTTCCGGCCCGGTTGGCGATGCTGTCGCCGATACCGTCTGCCGAGCGTCCTTCAATCACTGGCCCTTTTGCCGACCCCTACACCGACGATGATGGGGGCCCCGTAACCGACTCCTCATCCAACCTAGGCTCTATCGCACACGCATCAGAAAGTGCTCCCCCTCCTCTTCTCTCTCCTCCTGCTGCTGCTGCTACTGCTGCTGCTTCACCTCCACAGCTTTCCCCGCTACCTCCCCCGCCCACAGGAACGACTCTAAAGGCTGCAGCTGCTGCTGCTGCTGCTACGGCATCCAAAGATAGCCCTACACGCTCGCCCGACGTCATGGTCGCCGCCGCCGCGGCTGCGTCCTCCACCTCCTCCGCCTCCTTCACCTCCTCCGCCTCCTCCAACTCCTCCGCGTCCACCGCTGCTATCTTGGCAGGGCTGCCTGTGCGAGCAGCTACAGCACCGCCGTTGGCGGCGGCGGCGGCGGTGGCTTCGGCGGCGCTGCCGCCGCCGGTATTGCCACTGCTACGAAGCGCTTGGACGCTGTTTACACGGACGGCGTGCAGAGCCTGAGCACCTGACGTCATGTTTTGGGCGGCGCTGAGCATCTCCTCTAGAAATGAACGCATATCCTCGTCATCCAGAGAAATCACAACCGCCGGCGACTGTGCCGCCGCCGCAACCTGTTGTTGCTGCTGTTGCTGCTGCTGCTGCTGCGGTGACGTTGGTGATTGCTGCCTCAGCCGACTGAGGCTCAGCGGTACGGTAAATCTCCACGGCTCCGCCACCGCCACTGCCGCCGCTGGCAACGACGTCGACGCTGGCGCTGGCGCCGGCTGGGCCTGGGACTGAGCATGGGAATGTCTCATATGCGCATGAGGGGGATTCGAACCGGGGTTCATGACGTTGCTGACGTTGTTGACGTTGGTGAAGGTGGAGGGCGGAAGGCGGTTTGCATGGTCCGTGTGACTCATGCCTGTACGGAAAAGAAAACGGAGACGCGAAGCTTCTTTAGTAGGGCGGCCAGCGTAACGAGTTAGTCAGTCAGTCAGTCAGTCAGTCAGGTTTTGGGAACACCGTCGTGTGCCAACAGCATGCGAGT